TGTTGCTCAGCTATGTCGTCTGAGTACAGCAATACCCCCGTATGTACCTTTGCCAGGTATATGTAGATGTTGAAGAGGCACATTTGAGATGAAGCCATTCAGTTTTTATCTAACTTTGAAGTTTTACGCTGTGTCCATGTTCCATTTTGGAGAGTTTAGCTGGTTGGTTATTCAAACTTCCCCACAGAAACACATACTAATTATTAAAGAATACACCCTGGGGTAATTCAAAAGGCATATTTTGAACCTTAGCGTGGAATCATTTCTTCTCTAGTTTGTTCCAGGTGTAGTGGTAATGAGCATTTTTCAATGTATTTTTTTACTTTTTAAAACTTTTTTAAATATAATTCTTTATTTGTGTACTGCGTATAGAGAGTTACAAATAATCCTGCAATGCCTCAACAGTCAAGGCAGGTACAACAACAATTACAGGAGAAGAATCAATGTGGCATTTTATGTTTAAAGGGACACTATAGTCACTAGAACAACTACAGCTTATTGAATTTGTTCTGGTGAGTAGAATCATTACCTTCAGCCTTTTTTTCGCTGTAAACACTGTATTTTCAGAGAAAACACAGTGTTTACATTACAGCCTAGTGATAACTTCACTGGCCACTCCTCAGATGGCTGTTAGAGATGCTTCCTGGGTCGTATCTGGCTAAAATGCATCCAAACATTCAGTATCTCCTGCCTCTGCATGCAGACTTTGAACTTTCCTCATAGAGATTCATTGATTCAATTTATCTCTATGAGGAGATGCTGATTGACCAGGACTGTGTTTGAATCATGCTGGCTCTGCCCCTGATCTGGCTCCTTGTCAGTCTCAGACAATCCTATGGGGAAGCATTGTGATTCGATCAGGTCACCACTTCTGATGATGTCAGCAGGCAGCTTGTTTTCCTGAGGCAAACAGCATGCAGATCTACAGCTTCAGGCTTGAATACAGTAAGATTTTGCTATATTTATGGAGGCATGAGGGGCCCAGGAGGGCTAGATGGTGGTTTTAACACTATAGGGTCAGGAAAACATTTTTTTGTCCCTGACCCTATAGTGATCCTTTAAGTATAGTCAGGTTAGGCACATATGTCTGTAGTCGGTAGATGCAGTTAAAACAAGAATATTATTTGGCTGTTCTAGACATAGACATTTTTGCTTAGTAAATAATAGATTGCTTATTTTCACGGAGTAGCTCAGTTAAGGTAGAATTGTAAGAGATTAGTTTAGCAGGACTAGTATTGGGTAGAATGAGAGAAAAAAACGCTGAGATCTCTTAGACAGTGGGAAACGTTCAACGGTCCAAGGACCCAACTGAGATACAGAGGCCCTGTGGCCATCCTGGTTTCAGCCCACACCAACCTGACATGGCATGCCACCGAGCAGAGATGTGAGTCCCCAAGTCCCCAGAGAGTCTCTCTTGAATTCCCAGACCATGTTTTCTTATTTGGAGCTCCAGCCAACTTCGTGAATCAGCAGTTTCGTTTGCAAGCCCTGTGTGTTCCAAAGGGCTGAGTGTTGGAGGGGGTGATGACACTGTGGAGGTCGCGGTCTGGGCATGTGGCGATGCAGCCGGGAGCCAGACTTCTGATGGTGCGGTACCCGTTTCGGTCTGCCGCTGCCATGCGTGAAGCATTCTGCCGGTTGGCCAAGCTTGACGGGTGAGTTTGTTGGTGGTTTCCCCGGGCTCAGGTTTTGTCACGCTCCCCGGCTTGCTACCATGTGCGTCCCTGCCCGACCGGCATGACCGCACCAACTCACTGAGCTTACCTGCTCAGCGGCGAGCCGAGAACCGCTCCTCCGCGCCGCCCAGGGAAATCCAAGATGGCGCCGACCATGAGGTCGCGTCCATCCATGGCTCCACCCCCTGTCCATTTTTTGTAAATCAAGGTTATCACCCCACTATTTTACCTTCTGAATTTTCGGGGACTGATATTCCTACATTAAACACCCGTTTGGCTTCTACGCAAGACACTTGGGATTCTGTTCATTCAGCATTACAGAATGCCTCTAAACGTACTAAAGTTCAAGCTGATAAGAAACGGGGTGCCAATCCTTTTTATCAAGTGGGGGACAGGGTTTGGTTGTCCACACGTCATATCAAACTCAAGGTTCCTTCCATGAAACTAGCTCCTCGATTCATAGGTCCCTTTCGTGTCCTCCGTCATATAAACCCTGTGACTTATTCATTGACACTCCCTGCTCATATGAGAATTGCTAATTCCTTCCATGTATCATTGCTTAAGCCCCTCACTTGCAATCGATACACAAAAATGATTGTTCCTCCTCCGCCCTTGGTAGTAGTTGATCAAGAGGAGTACGAAGTCCAAACTATTTTAGACTCCAAGTTCTCTAGAGGTGTTCTGTCTTATCTTGTTGACTGGAAGGGATATGGCCCAGAGGAACATAGTTGGGTTCTTGCGGACCGGGTTCATGCTCCCCGTCTTGTCTGGTCGTTTCACAACCGTTTTCCTTGCAAGCCGGCTCCTTCCCGCCCGGTAAGCGTTCTTCGAGTGGGGGGTACTGTCACGGCCCCCGGCTCGCCACCATGTGCGTCCGTGCCTGACCGGCATGACCGCACCAACTCACTGAGCTTACCTGCTCAGCGGCGAGCCAGGAACAACTCCTCCACGCCGCTCGGGAAAGCCAAGATGGAGCCGACCATGAGGTCGCGTCCATCCATGGCTCCACCCCCCAAAATTATACGAACGCGCACGTTCTGGGGTCAGAGGTCACCCTCTGACCAATCAGAGCCTAGAGATATTTAAATCCCTAATTCACTCCAGTACCTTGCCCTTTCGTGGTTTCCTGGTTCCCTAGAGTGTGTTTATCTTTGTGAATATTACTTCCTGGTATCCTGATCTTGGCTTTTCCCTGGTTATTCCAAATTCTGGTTCCCCTGACTTGGCTTGTTTAAAAGGTATCTGAGTATTTCTGGCTTCCTTAATCTCGGCTTTGACCATTCTCTATCTCTAGCGTATTAGTCCGACCATTCTAATCCGGTTTACGCTCTGTCCTTTTATTTCCTTTCCTTTTTTATGTAAATGTTTACATAGTTTCTGCGTGTTGGACTACACTAGCAGCCGTGACACGTTTACTGCAGGACATGATATCTCTGGTAAGAGTGTCGTGGGCGCCGTGTGTGTGGTTAAAAAAAAAGAAAATCAGATCACAGTATAATACTGTGATTTGTATTTTGATAACTGTAGGTAGTGATCAACTGGCAGGGAAGGGGTTAATTTTTATTAGGACTAGTTAAAGGGGGGTGGGATTTTTTTTTACTTTTTAAAAAACAGTTATTAAAACTTTTTAAAACTTTTATTTAACTTTTTTTTTTTATGTTAAGCTCTAGCTGGCCTAACACCAAATTCCTCAATTCCCCACTAACTTCCACCCACCCCAGCTAGCTAAATATATAATTTTAATTTATTGAAATTAATTAATAAAATAAAATGTAAAAAAATCAGATCACAGTAAAATGTAGTCTCTGCCAATTGATCTCTGTAGTCAGTGATCAATTAGCAGGGAAGGGGTTAATTTTATTAAAGCAGGGGAAAGGGGGGGTGGTGGGATTTTACTTTATTTATTTTTTTACACAGGGAGAAGATCAGCAGTGATCCATCTCCCTGCACTTCACACTGGTCGCGGAAGAGCAGGGAGGCGGATCGTGAGTCCCTGCAGCACATGTGCTCGCTCTGACAGAGCAATCAATGCTCTGTATTACAGGCAGACCGGAGGAGCGTTAACCCTGCGATCACGGCGATATGGGGTTAACTTTACCACATGAAGGACCAGGTCCATCATTCAGCGTTAACTGCTTCCCCGCCATGATGGTCCAGGTCCGTCATCCGGCGGGAAGGGATTAAGGGGTTAAGTTTAGTGTGCCAAACACACACTGATACACATACACACACAGACACATGCCAACACACACACTGGATACACAGATACACATACACAGGGAACAAAATGATATATAATAAGTGTGTGTGCATTTAATATGAAAGAGGTGAATTATGCCTGAACAGACATTTAGCGCAAATTCCAGGTTTTGTTTACGTTTTGTTTTGATCACAACTTGTACAACTGCCTCAGTCCTTAAGGGGTTAAAAGGGATGCTAGAAAAAAAGAAGTAAATTAAATTGCTGTGCAGTTTATATTATTTTGACAGATTATGTTTGTCTTACATTATGATGTTGGGGTGGCAAATAAATGCATTCTGTTCTACAATGTATTCAGGGGATAAATCCAGCTGCATTGTAATAGCTCAAAAGCTGACAGATTGTATTCACTAAGCTGGGAATTGTGGGGAGTTGACAAACTAATTACAAACTGTAGGCAAAAATGTATGACTTTTTTAAAACTCTGTTTTAACCCATAAACTTCTGTCTAGCAAAGGATTATAGGATGCAAGGTTTATCACCAAAGAGAAATGTAATTCATCACATGATTGGAGATTGATTGGAGCAGTCATATCATGGCTGTTATAAGTTTATATTCATTGTACAATGCTACGGAATGTGATGGCGCTATATAAATAATAAAACAATAATAATATACAGCCTAGAACTGCGTGTTGAACCAGGCTATGTTTTACTGTCAGTAAAGCAGCAAGTTTAAAAAGGCCATTGGCTCTCTCCTGAGAGCAGAGATACTACTCTATTGAGCACGTTATGCTTGTATGCTGCATGAACAATGGGTTCAAAAGTAGCCCAGAGTTCTTAAGTACAGTGAGAATTCAAAGTGAAATTACATTTTATGGTAAAAATAGCTGATCTGGAAATATTCTCCAAGTCAGCTCTGCTTCCAGTTCAGCTATTTTGGCCTTAAATTTGAAATTCACTGAATTCTCGCTATAGTGAATAACCCAATAAGTGTCTAGGGTGGCCTGACTGAAAGCCTTGGTGGGTTGTCTTATAGCAGTAGTGATTTACACAAACTGTATTATTGGCCAGGGTATGGTGCCTAGTGCTCCAAATGCACTAGGCACCATACCTTGAGCAATAATACAACATGCTTATTGTTTTCAGACTGAACCTAAACACTAGTTATGCCTCGGTTTGTTTGTAGCTATTGATAGGTAGATCTTTCAGATCAAAAAGGCGTAAGATTTGATGATTTACGGAAGCTTATGTAGCTAAGTATAGAATGTTTGCTTGGTGTCCTTGTAGAGAGAATAGTGGGTTAGATGAATGTAAATGTAAAATAGTGATCACATTGATGGTAGTGGGCACAGGGGTTAGCATGCTGCTCTGGTAGTGGGAAGCTTTCCAGTGAAGTGGTTTTGAAAAGCTGAAACATCAGCATTAGTGAGAGTAGCTCTTTTGACATATCAGAACAATGGATATTGTATTGTTCATTATGTGGCTTTGCCCTGTAATTATCATTTGTTGCGTTTTACTAAGATGGATTTGTGGTGCAAATGAATGTACATTTTATTCAATAAAAGTATACTTACCTTTATTTTGGCTCCTGGCAATTTTTCTCAGAGACAGAGAATCCAGTACGTTCAAGTGGATTTCCAGCCCTGCTATACATCGCTGGATAACAGAATAATAACTGGTGATTTGGTACCTTTATAGTTCTGAGCTGACTTATAACAGGCTTTTGACATTGTGAGTGTTCCATTTGGAGCCATTTTAATCTCATGATTTTACATACGACAAAATTATGTATTTCTTTTATATATTTATGTTATAGAGTTTACCAAAGTGTCAATTACTGCTGTGTAATACTTGATAATTATAACCACTGTGTGCGCTTTCACCTTAGTTAGTTTGCTATTGTTTGAATGTGCAGTGTAAATTGTAAAAATGCGGCAGGATAGTCCCGAATTTCCCGAAATACTGCTTTTAGAGACACCAAGGAGCCATCCCCAACAATCATAGCACGAGAACATCCATAGACGCGCTCTAGATATGATTAGGACACTAGGATCCTGCAGAGAGTACTAAAACTGTGCTCCCTGCAGGGTCTGGCTTCAGTGGGCCAGCCAGCATGATGGACAGGCAGCCTAGCATGCATTCACGCCAGGATGATCTGCCATTAACTTGGTCAGACCCGCCCCTTTGCAGGTGGTCTTTATCTTTGGGGCAAAGCTAGTGATGCAGTTGCATCATGGGCATGCCTACTTTACCACCCACCCTACCAACAGCATCCCAATTCTCAGGGCCCCAGAGTTGGGAGGTATGAGCATAGCCCACTGCTTAAAGGTATGCTTCTTTGACATTTTTAGCATTGTGATTTTTTTCACCTGCCACTTTTAATGTATTTAAGGTTTGATTTCAGCAAGGTATTTAATGTATAGAAAACATACACGTGTTAGGAAATGTTTATCAAATCTTCACTGTAAATAACAATGCATCTACCTCTCTTTACTTTAGTATTTTCTGATGTATGAATATCCCGATTCCAATGACAGCAAATATGCATAATGTGAAATGTGTTTTGAACTTTTTAGGGGGCTAACAGGATAATATATATATATATATATATTTGGTTTGTATATGCAAATCCATGTTTTATCCATTCTCAGTTTAGATCATAGTCTGGAAGCTGCAAAGGATAAAAGATGGGACTTCGGCAATTCGGGACTTCAACAATTCGGGACTTCGGTTCGGTTCGGCGCTTCGGAGTTCTTTGGAATTTTCCCAAGCTGTGTAATTTGACTCATAACACTCTGATTGGTGGATTAAGTAACCAATCAGAGTGTTATGAGTCAAATTACACAGCGTGGGGAAATTCCAAGGAACTTTCCCACACTGTGTAAAATGACACAGAGCACTCTGATTGGTGGATTTCAAGCCAACCAATCAGAGTCCTGTGACAGGTAAATGTAGAGACTTACCTGTCAGTCTCTTCATTTACTTGTCAGAGCACTCTGATTGGATGACTTAAACCCACCAATCAGAGTGCTCTGAGCCTAAGTGCAGGGTGGGGCAAGGCTTTATAAGCCTTCCCCCGCCCTGCAGAGCTCAGTCTGCGCGGAGCCCTCCATGAAGAAGGATTATTTTTTCTGCGCTCGTTTTTATTTTTTATGTGTTTTTTAAGTGCATTGGTTATTATGGATTTTTTATTTGCCCTTTTTTGGGGCTGAAAAAAAAAGATTTTAGAAGAAAGAAAACATCAAATGGTAGGTTTTACCCTCATTATTTTTAGGGTGAGGTAGGTAGGGGTTATTTTTTTGGGGGGAGGGCGGTGACTAGGGGTTTGGGGACCACTAGTCACCTGGGGGGATAATATTTTTATTTAGGGCCCCCACCCGCTGACATTAGGTTCCCCCCTTATTGGTATTTAGGGCCCCCACCCACCGCTCAGGGGTGGGGGTCAGGGGGGAGGACATTAGGTCCCCCCCTTATTCTAATTTAGGGTCCCCACCCACCATTCAGGGGTGGGGACTAGGGGGAGGACATTAGGTCCCACCCTCTTATTAGTATTTAGGGCCCCCACCCACCGCTCAGGGGTGGGGGCCAGGGGAGGACATTAGGTCCCCCCCTTATTAGTATTTAGGGCCCCCACCCACAGCTCAGGGGTGGGGGCCAGGAGGGAGCACATTTGGTCCCCCCCTTATTCTAATTTAGGGCCCCCACCCACCGTTCAGGGGTGGGGGCCAGGGGGGAGGATATTAGACCCCCCTTATTAGTATTTAGGGCCCCCACCGCTCAGGGGTGGGAGCCGGGGGCAATAGGTCCCCCCTTCAGGTTAGAAGCCCCCACTCTTGCGGGGGGACCTTTTTTTTTATAAAGACATGCCCCTACTCATGGTATAGCGAGTAGGGGCATAATTTACTAATACTTAGTATTAGTAAATTTGGCTAAGAGACCAATTTAGGTCTTTCAGTCTTTTAGTAGATAGCTCCCTGATAATTAGGGAGTTATCTACTTATTCATTCCTGTCATTACATTGACTGGCTAAGTTACTTACATTTTATATGAATGTATGTTACTTGATTGTTGTAAGTGTTGCAAATGCTTACAGCTGAATCCTGGCTGTGTTTGTATACTTTTTATTTAAAATTGTATACAGTGTAACATTCTTCATTCTTCCACTGGGTAAGTATATTAGTTCTTAAGTATTACTGTGCTTCGGAACTTCGACACTTTGGAACTTTGGCACTTCAGCACTTCGGAAATTCGGCACTTCGACAATTCGGAAATTCGGTAATTTCGGAACTTCGGCAATTCATCTATTTGGACATTCGGAAGTACCCGAATGTCCGAATTTCCCGAAATTCGTCCGAATTCACATTTGGACTGAAACGAATTGCACATGTCTATCTATTAATACATTGTCACTTTTAAAAAGCAGTCATGGAGATTTTCTTCTTCCTTTTGTTAGCTCCACTTAGCTAACATAAGTGTCCAGTACACTCTGCTAGTGCATGCCTGCCACTGCTTCCTCCAGTCATAGTGAGCTTGTGATCACACACATCCATGCGCATGCTTCAACAGGGCTTATTGTAACTCAAGTCCCTTGCTCCTGCAGCCTCCTTGTGGTCCTCCTGGGCACTCGCCGCACCCCTAGACGTGTTCATGTGAGCTTGTAGCTGGAAACCATAGGCTTTTCATTGAGAAGTCTCTGATTTGCCAAATCCTGGTTAAGGTGTCCAAATATTCTTTGCTGCATAATAACATCCATCAGCTGTGGCATACCTCCCATGTTTCACTGGCTTTGCCCAAAGCGGCAGTTCCATCTGGAAATGGCACAGTGGCCATACCCTGCAGGGAACAATGTTTATTCCTAGTGCCTAGTTTAATTAATTCAAAAACACATTAGGAGAAAATATCCCACACAGGGAAGGCAAAGAAAACAGAAATATGGAAACCAAGAGGTATAAATCCCAGAAATGAATTAGAGACTTTCCAAAAAGAGCTCATGGGAGCTAAACACGATTTTTGATTTAGGTGGCAAATAATTTAAGAACGCAGAGATGGAAACCGTAAGTAAGAAAGTAAATTGTCTATTTAAAATGCACCATGTAGATGCAGGGTGAATACATAGCAGGGTGAATTTAAATTGCATATTAAAAAAAATAAAAATGATTTGTTTGGTTTAAATCAATAAAAAATTATATTGCACCTATCCTCCCATCACAGATCATATCCTCCCTTCACAGCTCCTAACCCCATCAAATCCCCTATTCTTTCACCACAGCCTCTTACAATCAATACAGATCACATTCTCCCTTTATCCACTGCAACTTCTATTACCCTCCCAAAGCCTCCTATACCCTCTACACACACTTCAGCCCTTATTGCACCAGCACTCAGTAAAGCCCATATCCCTTCCTTGCCCCAACTACAGCCCTTATCCCCCTGCATCCATTACAGCTTCTATCCCCCTTGCACCCAGAAACCAACTATGCCTTCTGCTCACACTACAGCCCCTATAGCCATTTGAACACACTGCAGCCCCTATTGCACCTGCACCCAGTAAAGCCCATATCCCTTCCCTACCCACTGCAGCCACGTTACCCATTGCACCGACTACAGCCTATCATATTCCCTATCTAGCCTATACACTACCTACCTTATCCCCCATCTACACTTACTACAGTCCCAATCCCTCCCCAATATCCACTACTCTCAATGTGCTTACATTTATAATAGTTGCATTTGCTAAAATTCTTTTTGGTACGATTCTCTTTTCTTTTTAAAGGACCACTATAGTGCCAGGAAAACATACTCGTTTTGCTGGCACCATAGTGCCCTGAGGGTGCCCCCACCCTCAGGGACCCTCTCCCGCCGGGCTTCGGGGAGAGGAAAGGGGTTAAATCTTACCTTTCTCCAGTGCCGGGCGGGAGCTCTCCTCCTCCTCTCCTCCTCCGATCCTCCCATTCGGCATATGCATACAAATTGTGAATATATAAGAAAATAATTCATAAACTTACCAATTATTGATGTGCTGTCCAACTCTCCATTACTACCCGGAAGTGCACAGAAGCCGCCTGTGATGTCATCACGTGTTGACATACGGCAGGTTACTATGTGATTACCATGGTTACCAAATAAACTTGGAGTGAAGAATTACTGTGCCGAGTGAAAAGGAAACATGAAATGTACCTGTGTCAAAGAAGGACTGTCATTAGAAACAACCAGACTAAGTCTGGTTTTAGAATCAAATACTCTAATGTTAAATATTATATTCAGCCGCAAGATAGAAATGTATGCATATTCAGTGATCTTGAAAAAAAACCGGCAGGGTCAAAATGTTGATTTTATTTTTTTTTTGAATTTTTTTTTTTTTTTTTGCTGTATGCCTATTTAC